CGACTCATGAATCTACTTACAAGACCAATAGCATGAGCTACATCAGGCCTGGTGCCAACCATAGCATACATTATGCTTCCTATTGCACTAGAATAGGGAACTCTCTCTAAATCCACACACTCATCATCATTCTTAACAGCTGACAACTTAAAGTGTGCACCAATGGGAGTACTCACTGACTTAGAATCAGTCATATTAAACCTCTGCAATACCTTTCTCATGTATTGTGGCTGAGATAAATGCAGAATACCTTCTTCTCTGTTTCGGATTATATCAATTCCTAGAATCCTACTTGCAGCTCCCATATCTTTCATCTCAAATTCCATACTTAAAACTCTCTTGAGTTTATCTATCTCTGCTATACTCCTAGCAGCTATCAACATGTCATCAACATACAAAAGTAAGTAGACAAATTCTTCAGGATTTACCTCTTTCACATAGACACATGAATCATGTTCACTTCTGACAAACTCCTGTTTCATCATGAATGCATTAAACCTCTTGTTCCATTGCCGAGGAGCCTGTTTCAAGCCATACAAAGACTTCTTTAGCAAACATACTTGATCTTGTTTAGAATTTACCTCAAAACCTTCAGGCTGTTCCATATATAGTGGCTGATCAAGCTCCCCATGTAAGAATGCTGTCTTAACATCCATTTGTTCCAGCTCTAAATCATCTTTAACAACCAATGACATTAGTACTCTAATAGAGATATGCTTCACAACTGGTGCAAACACTTCTTGGTAATCAATACCAACTCTCTGAGTAAATCCTCTGGCAACCAACCTTGCCTTGTATCTTTCAGGCTCCACTCCTGGGATTCCAGGCTTCTTCTTGAACAACCATCTGCAACTGATCACCTTTTGATCTTTAGAGCGATCTACAATAGTCCAAGTACCATTTTTCAACAAAGAATTCATTTCTTCTGTCATGCCTGCATCCCATGCTTCCCAATGCTTGTCTTCTTTAGCTTCATGGTAGCAACTAGGTTCTTCACTTTCTAATTCCTCAGCAGCCATTAGAGCAAAAGCAAACTGAGAGTAATCTGAGAACTTTACTGGAGCCTTGATTTCTCTTCTAACTCTATCCCGAGCTAACTGATAGTTTGATAACCTTTCAGTAGCTTCAGGTAAGTCACCTTCAGGTTCATAATACTCAGAATCAGAATCACTAGAGACAATCTCAACTGCTCCACCTGCATTGGAACTTTCTCCAACCTCTTTACTAGACTTTTCAAGCTCAACTATAAACTTCTCCTTCTGGCTCGCAACTTCAGGTTTGTCATTCTGATCTTTCGACTTTAAGTCCTTATAAACCATTTCTTCATGAAATATAACATTTCTGCTGATCACACACTTCAACTCATCAAGTAACCAGACCTTATACCCTTTAGTGCCCTGCGGATAACCCAGAAACACACCTTTCAAAGCTCTTGGCTGTAACTTCCCCTGGTCTTGATGTACATAAGCTATTGAACCAAATCTTCTGAGATGCTTGTATCCTGGCTTTCTGTTCAACCACAATTCCTCAGGTACATTATGATCTATAGCTGATGCAGGTGATCTATTAACAATATATGCAGCAGTAGCTGCAGCTTCAGCCCAAAAATGTTCTTCTAAACCAGATTCATCCAACAAACACCTAACTTTTTCCATGAGTGTCCTATTCATTCTTTCTGCAACACCATTCTGTTGTGGTGTATAAGTGCAAGTTCTATGCCTTTCTATACCATGCTTCTTACAGAACTCATCAAACCTAGAGTTACAGAACTCTAATCCATTATCAGTCCTGAGAATCTTGACTTTCTTATCAATCTGTTTTTCAACTAACTCTTTCCATTCACAGAACTTATCAAATGTCTCATCTTTTGTTCTGAGAAACATGAGCCAGACCTTCCTAGTTTTATCATCAATGATGGATAGGAAGTACTGCTTACCTGAGAGTGATGGAGTTACATTTGGTGAACCCCATAGGTCTGCATGAACATATCCGAGTGCATCTTCTGTGTTCTGCTTCCCAACATTAAAGCTTAGCTTCTTTGACTTTCCCATAACACAATTCTCACAGAATGGCAGCTCCTTGATCTCATTCTTTTGCAATAACCCTTTACCAGACAAGATCTTCAAACTGTTAAGACTCATGTGACCAAGTCTGCTATGCCACAATACTGTTTTGTCTTTCACACTCTCTGCATTATAGCTTGCACTAATAACTGTTTCACCATCAAGAATATACAGACCATTATTCAATATCCCAGACAATGCTGTTGCATTGTTCTTGTAATATCTCACTTTACCATCTCCACCTTCATGCTTGTAACCAAGCTTGTCAAGAGTACCAGTGGAGATAAGATTTCTTCTCAAATCAGGGACATACTTGACATTATTCAACACCCTAATAGAACCACCATGAGTGTTAATACGGATTGTGCCAATTCCCTGAGATTCCACTTAGTGATTATCACAAAGTAAGATAGTCGTTTTATCATTCTCATCAAAACTGCTGAACCAGTCTCTCCTAGCTGTCATGTGTGAAGTACACCCTGAATCTAGAATCCATAAATCTTTGACCAACTGATTATTCACACTTAGAGCTTCTGAAAATACTAACTTCTCTGTGATAACACCAGCTTCATTCTGACCTTGACCTTCATTCTCCATTTTCCTTTTCCTAGCATAGCAATCCTTTTTAAGATGCCCTTCCTTTTTACAGAACCAGCAGGTAGCTTTTGATTTTGAACTAGACCTGCTTTTGCTTCTCCCTTTAGATCCCTTGTTCTGACTTCTTTCAGCAGGTCTTCCTCTATCTGAAGTATATAGCACAGTAGAGGATGATCTTTCAGAACCTTTTTCTTCAGCTAGCTCTCTTTCCAAGGACTTAGCTGAGGACACAACATCTTGAAGAGCTAAAGTTTTGTTTCCATATTTCAATGTGTGCTTGAGTTGTCTGAAGCTAGCAGGTAGAGAATTCAACAACAAAATTGCTTGAACTTCTTCTGCGACTTGAATCTCCAAGCTACCTAACTCAGCAACAATCTTCAAGAAATCATCCACATTCTGATCAATCGTTTGAGACTCAGCCATCTTGAAAGAATAGAAATTCAATTGAACATAGATCCTATTTGGCAGAGAGGTTTCCATGTACAATTTATTCAAC